ATACCTACCGTTTTATTTTAGTTGGAGCAAGCGATAAAAAACATTTTTACTTTGCTGTACTTCACTTTGTTTTACAAAATATGTTTTCGCACAATATAATTTGTTATTGGGGCATTCATGAAATTCGCGAAAATCTTTACGTCACATTAATTTTTACTGTAGAAAATAAATAGGTAATTGATATTCATTCACCAGAAGGAATTTAAACGACAAACTGTTCCTTCCATCTACATCCGTCAGTGCGTCCACAAGAAACTGATATTTTGAATGTCGTTTTTGCGACTTTCAAGGACGGTCACCTACCTAGGGATGGAATTCTGTTGACGTAATTTTTAGAAATGTTAAAAGCAAACGCTATTATTATTGTTAGACAGAAAAACTATAAATTATCTTTATGAGAGGACTATTTTTAATCGGAATTTCTTAAATTCCTAAGTAGCCTTTTTATACAAATACCTACCTACATGAATCTTATGCTTTTTAATTAAAACAGTAACACTTAAGTTCTTTTTCTATAATTGAAAGTACAATATTCGCGCCCTGCATTGGTCAAGTCGGCTCAACTGCTTAAAGTACACAATTTATGGATTTATATAACAACGAGCAAAAAAACCTTCTTTGAAGATATTAAAACATATTCAAATTGGTTGTTTCTTATATAATAATTTGCTTTACCCGAATGAAAGGGCTTTTAGGTACTATTCTGAAGCAAATCGTACCACACTACTTAAGCCTTTAATTATTACATGTAAAGTTTCAGTGACATTTCAGAAATTAATTGAACATTTCTTTCTGTTAACAATTAAAAATGTTTCGGGATAAAGCTGCTTCTCGAAAAATAATAAGGATTGTAATAATTCACTTTTATCCGAAAAGGATAACGCTAATTTATAAGGTATACCTTCAAGTTTTCTTCTTTTTAGTTGAGTTGAGATTTAGTTTGATATGTTACAATATGATAAAAATTTCCATGTTATTATAAAATTGTTTTGAATTTTATATTTTTAAAACAAGAACATATTAATATATCTCTTCATTTGTTGGGTGTGTATGTTAAGTGCTTCTTTTCCTTATAATTACACGCACTGGCAGGTTTATTTTTATCAGTTGAAGAAGAATCCTTTTTGACAAAAGTGTTGTTGCATGTTTGTCCTTATTTTGTTTCAAAGTATGTTTAAAAATTTAAAATATCAGGATCAACAAAAGGCGCTCTTTTTTAACAGATCTCATCCAAAAATACGTGATGTACACTATCACACATTAAGCGTCAATTAATTGTAATAAATTACATGTATAAATTTACGTAAGCTGTTTATGACGAACGCTAAATAAAATTTTTGTAAGTTACCATAAAAACGAAAATCCGTAATTGTTTACAAATATGCCGTGACGTATGTGTTGACTAGCGAAAAAATGCGATATTGTTTTGTGATGAAAAAGGTGAACTGGTTTACTTACGCAGAAAAAAAAGAACTGGCAAAATATGACATTTGTTTGGTATATACAACACCCTGTGTCTCGCTATCGATATAAATAAAGACCGACCGTGAAGAAGACACAGTTGTTCAAACTCAGCGAATCACAACACTCTGGTTCCAATATCAAAACACCTACATCAAGATGAATCGCGCGGTAAGTCACATTATAAATATTATTCAAAGTTTTAAAAACATTTAAAGTTCTCGATTAAAGAAAAATCTCATTTAAATTGTAGCAAGTACGACGTTACAGTCAATTTTCCATCAGAACATTGGAGAGCTTTCGGAAAATTAAAACGTGAAACATAAGTCGCAAATATTAAAAAATTTTTTTTATATTTCTATTAAGCCATTTGAGCCTCGAGTGAGAATTGTTGTGGTTAAATTAAAATTTCTAAAGGTTATTATTAAATAATTATGAGAGCTTTCAGTATACTAATGTCATGTATAATGCATGACAAAAATTAATTTAATATAAATAAAATTGAACTGATATGGCTATTTGTATGCTATTAAGACGCAAACGACCTTTAATAAAATGTTTGTCTGTCTGTCTGTCTGTCTGTTTGTCTGCCCATACGGGCTACTGTTAGAAACGGCTGGACCGATTGCGATCGGACGTGAAGAGGAGATAGCCAGGAGTGATCCAGGCTACTTTTTTTAAGTCGTTTATTAATTATAACAGTTGTGTTTGTTATAAAGTCGCGGATAGAGGATAGTGTGTTATGAATATGAAAATGTTTTTTGAAAATCAAAGCTGTTGCAAACTTTTACCTTATTTACTTACTACGATGTGATAAATAGATTGATGTTCTACATAATCGAAATTAATGAGCTTTTTATTCTACTTTGAAATTTGTTGTTAAGAAACTGACTGACCAAATATAAAAATTTATAGATCAAAACTCCGTTTATGGAATTAGTAATAACGCGTAAAAGTCAGGGTCGGACTGGTGTACAAATCTCAATTTTACAATATCAGCACAACCATACATATGTAAATGCTAATATTAATGTTCACCTTCTTAATTAATTCCAAAAGTCGTGGATGCGTTTAATTTTTTTTTATAAATGCCGATCAATATGAAATTCCGCGGTCGATTTGTGAAGCTCCTTTTTCAATTGAAAGGGAATAGTTCTCAAATTGATACTCATACCCAACTTTTATCGAAAACCATAAACGGTTTAGTAGTTTTTCCATAATGTATTAATGAAGGCATGTTGGGTCACTAAAAATATTAAAACTGACCAAAAACTTTGAAGTAGTAAGACAGAAAAAAACAATTTTTTATTCGATTTTCGTCTATTGCTTGATGTAATATGTTTTACAAGGAGACGAAAAGTATAAAACGGCGTTTCTCTTTTAGCTGTTGATATTTCTCTGTCTGACCGCACTTATGGTGGCGGTTTCCGGCAGGGTGCACTATCAAGACGTAAACGAGGGCAAATATTACGTGGACCCTAATAATGACGGACGATACTACCATGAGTCTGGTGATGGTCGATATCACCATGACAATTCCGGTCAGTACAATCACGATGGTACCGGACGCTATGCCCACGATGGTACCGGTCGATATGCCCACGATCACAGCGGACATTACGTCTATGACGGCAGCGGTAGGAGAACACAAAATCCAAACACCCAATTCCGCAAAAGAAACTAATCAGTTATCACCTTTTAACCACTCACTTATATGCATACGTAATATAAATACATAATTAACATTGCACGACTGAATTTACGATAAGAACGATGCACCTTATAGTATAGTGGGATTTGTAAATAAGTATTGTTAACAACATCTAACTAACTGTATTCTAACATGGGCCTAGTAAGAACTTAAAATAAAATAAAATTGTGCAATATGAGTAACTGTTTCCTTATTTAACACATTTTAAACTCACAATAACATTCACTAACACGCTTTCAAAAATAGCATAATATTTACTGTTAAACACTTTACGCTTTCTACTGCATCTGTAAATTTAAACGTTACTTTTCCCAAAATGCTCAGAAAAAATGATATATTTATTTAAATTAAGACAAACGTATATTAATATTTTTGTAAAAATTACAAATTCTTACACAAAATTATTTAATACAGCAGTATTGCAAAATTTTTAAAAGTGATTAGACTTCAATGTCAATACATATTAATAACAACAAATCACTCTCTGATGAAGCTATTCACAAGCATTGCGAAAATTACGAATAAAAATTAGGAAATATTTGTTTCTCGCAGGCCAATATGTCGAATATGCAAAACCAACGCCTAGGCCTTACGATGAAGGTAAATTGAAGCAATGGTGCAAGGACTACAAGGATGCAGGACTTTATCATTACAAGTAAGTTTACCAACTTCAAACGGCTAAAGAATAGCGAAACATTTTTTGTCGAACTAATGGATTTATAATTAAGGAAATCGCATGCGAACTTTTGCAACTGTTTTTACGTTGAAAATCATCAAATTTCAAATCTTTATCAAAAAGAGCGAATCATAACCTTCATTTCAATGAATCATCACTAAATAATGGATTTATTTGCCTTTTCCTTTTTTATGTACGACATTACATCGGTTCCAAAGCAATTTACGAACGCTGTAAACAATTTAATTTTTTTTTTAATTCCGTAAGATACGCGGTCCCTGATCCTGATGACATAGTTGCCGAAGAGTGCGCGAAAATCTTCCAGGAAGAATACGGCGAACAACTTCGAGTCAAGGGGTATTTTAAATATTTCGGTGACGACGGTGAAAAGTATATCGTAGATTACACGGCCGACGAAAACGGTTTTATTCCTGACGGAAATAATTTGCACCCGGCTCTTCTAGCCGCTTTGAAATACCACAAAACGCAAGGGAAGGTACATCAGAGCGGTGTCCCTACACCGGGTCAAGCGGCAGCAGCTTCTGGAAAACGATTCCAAGTGTTCAAAGGTTTCCAACCCTACTACTTTAGCAAAAATCCCAAAATTCCAAACCCAAAAGCTTAAACATCGATAAGACTTTGCCAGCTGTATTTTCTGTGTTACTTAAGGATAGGTCTTATTTATTAAATGTTATAATGCGCATTATAAAACGGTTTATTTAGTAATCTACGACGTTCAATTAATTTTCTAATATCATCGCCAATTTTGTATGTCACTTGACAAAGCATTGTATCTCTTCACCACATTATTTATTTTAATAATAGATATTTTATTATTAATGAAATTTAAAGAGCTTTTTGTGACCATTAATGCATGTATTATATTATGTACACCGATAAATATATGTTGTTTTTCAAATCGAATATTTCATTGACATCTTCAGCTGATGGATGAGTCAAGCTAATATAAAAAGTTAATGATCGATTATATTCATTTTTAATAATCGATTAATCACCGATCGTTTTATAAAAAGGGCGCCAATGGTAGAGAAAAACTGGAAACTACTGACTTAAAATATTTATGCATAAATAATATTCCGCTAGGACTCTTATTAGACGTTTCTTTTTATCCTAAAATTGTTGTATCNTCACATTTTCCTCGAAATACAATCTTTCAAAGGATTAAAAAGCCACTTCATCTCTTGGAGCTTGCTAGCTGTTGGAAAATCAGTTACACGGTTCCCGTTCTTTAATCACTTTTATTAGTATTTCGTAAATTTGTGAAGCAGCCTATTATGTAAAATGTGTTAAATTATGTTCTTAAGAAGTTATAAAGAAAGTAAGAGAGAACGTTTCTAACAACTTCGAAGGTCAAAAGTTCTTATCTTTTGGAATCCACGTAAAGAGAAAATCAATGCATTTTATACCTCAACTATTGAGCATCCTACGTTATTGCTAAATATCTTCGTACAACATTTTAAAAATAAAAGGAAAGGACATGCTAAAGCTATAACAATTACATATAAGAATCCGAATATCATTTATTGTTAAAATCCGTTTTAATCAATTTATTAATAGCTCCATCTATGCAAATCTAATGTCATACAACACAATATACTGCAGTATACAACAAATGACTTTCATGGAATTAATTAAATATATCGCTTTATGAATTGAGAGTTCGAAGTTAGCCTGTAAGAGGTCATCGCTAGTAGAAAGCTTCAGATAAATTTATCGTTACACCTCTACTTTAAATAAAGAACAAATGAATCTGTTACAGTGTGCTTTATTAAAATTTAATTTTGAAATATTCACCTTTAAATTTTATAGTTAGGTACATTAATACCTAAATAGAACGACATTTTTGTCTGGATAATATGTTGAATTCAAATGTAGCTGTATAAGCTGTAAGCTGTGTTTGATTTGGTTATAAAATTCTACTGTAAATATTGTCTTGTCAGTAAAGTGGCAGTTATCGATTGACCTCAACTAATCGTTTGAAATGTTCCAAACGTTGCGGTATTTTAGTAATTTTCAAACTTATTGCGATGAAATTCAACGGTAGGTCAAGCGACGAACCCGACTTGGAAACGTACGCAATCGTATAAAAAAGTGGTTTCGGGTCTGCGAGAAGTTTACAATAAGAAATACTTATTCTTATTTCATACGTACGTCCTCCTAATAAAAACAGAAACATATTTTTGATAAATATATTTTACGTTAAACTTGTAATGTTGTAAAATTTGTTTATTAAAAGATAATAATATAAACGCACTTTGTAAATATTGTTTAATGTTAATAAAGCGGTTATCGATTGGTCTCAATTAACTGTTTAAAATATTTCAAATGTTACGCAATTTTAGTAATGTTAGAATTTAATGCGTTGAAATTCAACGCTTTTTCAAACGACAAACTCACCCTACAAAGCGTATATAGTCGCATCGAAACGGGGTGTCCTACCGGGAAAAGTTTACAACAAGGAAGACTTATTCTTATTTCTTACGCATATCATCTTCTCAAAGGCAGAAGTATGTTTTCAATAAATATACTTTACGTTACACGTTAATATTGTAGAGTTCTTGATTTGTTTATTAAAATATATTAATATAAACACACTCCTGTAAGTATTATTTTATGATAGTCAAGTGTCAATTACCAATCGACTTTAACTATATGTTTAAAATGTTTCAAACGTTGCTCTATTTTAATAAATTTAGAGTTTAATGCTATGAAATTCAACGGTAGGTCAAGCGACGAACCCAATCTGAAAATATCAAAAGGCGGTTTCAGGTCGAGAAAAATTTCTCAATAAGGAAGATTTACTCTTATTTCTTACACATATCATCTTCTTGAACTCAGAACATGTTTTTAGTAAATGTATTTTACGTTAAACTTACAATATCGTAAAGTATTTGGTTTGTTTATTAAAATATATCAATATAAAGCACTCTTGTAAATATAGTTTTATGTTAGTTACGTGGCGGCTATCGATTGACATTGAATAAACGTTTAAAAATTTTCAAACGTTGCGATATTTTGATACTTTTAAGTTTTAATGCGTTGAAATTCAACGGTAGGTCAAGCGACGAACCCAATTTTGAAACATACGCAGTCGTATCGGAAGGTGGTTTCGCATGGGTAAAAGTTTACGATAAGGAAGATTTACTTTTATTTCTTCCACTTGTCATCTTATCGAAGACAAAATATGTTTTTAATAAGTATCGTATTTTACGTTAAACTGATAATATTATAAAATTTATTCAGTTTGTGGCATCATGGTTTTGTTGCAGAAAGTAAAAGTCAAAGTCTGGTATTTGACGTGATGATTATTTAAGGATCGTGAAGAAGAGGATAATTCTTTTTACAGTAATTTATTTATTATTGTGTACTTTGAATCGGCCTTCACATTTGAAATACCGACTCGTCTCTTTTTCCGACAAACCACGTGTGCTTATTGGGCTATTTTAAATGAAATTATTGACTTCTCCTCTACAGCTGACTTAAAATATTTATGCATAAATAATATTCCGCTAGGACTCTTATTAGACGTTTCTTTTTATCCTAAAATTGTTGTATCCATTTTTTTTGGT